GATTATTCAGTCTGCATACCCGCCAGCCGATAGGCTGTCCTGAAGTGGACATCCACGGAGCTCAGCACAGGGGCTGTACCTTGAGGGCAGGGTCAAAGGTTGGATTTCCTTTAGGACTAATTAGTCTCAGCCCAACGCCCAACCAAAGTATTTATTTCCTTGCTTCAGGTAGGTGGCACACCCGAGCCAGTTCCAGTGTTTCAAACAATTCCCATCTCTGGTCCTTAGAGTGGTTGGAACACAGGGTAGAAGTGGTTTGAGTCTGTCCTTTACCGACGCTGGTCCAGCAATCCTACGCCCAACACCCATAAGGTACAAATACGGTAGGTTGTTTGTAGAACAGCTACACCTCGACCCAGATGTCTTCCTCTGATTTATTACCGACATAAACGAAATATAAATAAGCCCACGTAGCTCTGTCCCCTACCCTGTGCAAGGACTACTCATTCAACTCCTCCAGTCTACAGGGCAATGAACCTAAGGAGAGGAAATATGAAAGGCCAAAGGGAAAGTGTCGCTTAAATTGCGTGCACGCCCGTTGTAGTGGCTGATTTTCACTATGAGCTCAGCAGAAAACCGACCAGAGGCACATTTAGAATTCAGTAGAGCACAGAGTATTTAATATGCCATTTGCATTTTGACAGCTTAGAAATGTCTACACTGGATTTGCTGTATCCTCTGCAATGAGCACTAACCGGCCACTGAGCCTTTGTTTATCTATTTCTTAAAGGAAGCTGAACCATTTTCTTGACATTTTCAAAGCACTGTTGGTTGTTGGAGACAAAAAAAAAAAAAAAAAAAAAAAAACTGGAGACTGAGGAAGCATTGCCCTCAGGAGGAGCCGGTTTCGCCTGCAGGAACTTAGAAGCCTGTACGGGGCCAGTCTACTTCTCTGGCGTGAGCTGCGAGCTGAAAGCCGATATGCAAGTAATGATGGCCTGTCCCCTCGAGGCCTGTGGGCGCGGAGGTGCTTGAGGCCTGGGGGGCATTCGCTGCCATCTCACCATCTGCTCTTTGCTCCCCTGGACTTGCTTATCGAGATCTCACTGTCCCACTACTGAAGTTTACAAGACCTGCCACTTTGAAAGAAAGCCTTCCCCCTGCTCACCCTTTCACGGATGTAAAATCCCAAACTCAGAACATACAGGTTGCCCGGAAGCACCAGAGCTTTCGGCTGAACAGCTCTTCACCGAAAAACAAAACAACACAAAAACTTAACCCCCTCACAAGGCCAGAAAAGCAATACACGTGATTAGCTAAGAAAATCACCAATGTAGAAATCTTAACTTCCCTTATACATGACCCACCTTTACTATATGATGTGTCCGGGGTTTTCCTGTGAAAGCCATTTATTCACGGGAATTCCTGACTTCCCCAGGAGGGAGTATATGTGGAGTTGCTCAACCATAAAGCAGATGTGGCCAGCAAATAGAAGGTCTGGGCATCCTTCTGGGTGATATGAATTGTTAACAAGGTATGTCTGTTAACAAGGCATCTAGAAGCATGCACATTTGGGAAGGTTTCTCTCTCTCTCTCTCTCTCTCTTGCTCTAGCTCTCACTGTATGTGTGTACGTGTGTGTTGAGTTATATGGTCGCTGTGAAAATTTGGTAATGAAATGCATGCTTAAATCCCTATGTGGGGCGGGTCAGTGAACGTTAGAACTAGCTGGGTGGGTTGGTGACTGTAAGAACTGGGGACCCTGATAAGCACCCCACCTTTGGCTCCCAGGCTTCCTGCAGGGAGACCACAGAGCTATTGGGTGCTTCTTCTTCTTCTTTTTTTTTTTTTTTTTTTTTTGACACTTTCTGGGCAAAGCTTGCAAATCACTGCATTCCTGTCGCTGCACAGCCACAAGAAACAACCGAGGAGCAAAGCAAACTTTGCGCACCCAAACAGCAGGTAGATCAGCTCCAGATAAGGGTGCAAATCGCAGAGCTCACGGAATGCGTTACGCCACGTAGGTGCTGGATGAGAACTCTTACAAGCCTTCCTCCGTCTCCCGTGGGCCCTGAAACTGTGCTGTGTGTGAGTAGGGGAGGCACACCTGGGACTCGACCTGTACAATAGCAATGGTCAGAAACAACAAACAAAAGGACCTGAGCCCTGAATCCTGGGGACCCCCCCCCCAGGTTGCACCGACGCGTAAAGCACAATCAGCTGAAGCCGGAGCCCCGGGGAGGGACGGGCCCCGGGTTCGCGCGACCGCAGCCCCTGCGGCCTCGCACGACTCCGCAAACGGGTCACGGACTGCACACCCCGCGCATCACAAACTCTCCTCCCGCCCCGACCCAGCGGGAGCCGCCACCTGGGCGCACGCTGCGCTGCTTCCCGGGAGCGCTCGTGCCTCCTGCGCGGGGAAGCCCTGCGGCTCCAGGCACCGGGGGCCCCTCTCCCCGGGCGGAGGCCCGACCTCGGCCACCTCCGCTCCGCTCGGCCGGGGCAGGGGAGGAGGCCCGACCTCGGCCACCTCCGCTCCGCTCGGCCGGGGCAGGGGAGGACGGAGGGGGGATGCGTCCGCGCCCCGGCTGCCGGGCGCTCTCCGGGGCTGGCGTCACCACCCCCCGCCTGCAGCCGGCTCCCGCGCGCCCACCTGCGCTCGCCCCCGACCCCTCGGGCGCGGGGGGAGTCGTTCCAGCCCCGCGGGCCCCGCCGGGGGACCTCTGGGCCTCGCCCCCCCTCCCCAGCAGCCCAGCTCCGGCCCTGGCGCAGCGAGCGCACACCCCCGCGCGGCGCACGCCCGGGGCCCGGGACCCCCGACTAGGCGGTGCGCCCGGGGCGCAGGGGGCGCTCCCCTCCCCGCCGCAGCTGCGGGGGGCTCGGGGCCCCGCCGGCACACGCCCTCGCGCCCAGCCCCCGCCGCCCACGGCCGCGGCCCACCCAGCACACGTGCAACGATTGCCAAGGAGCTCGGGCAGGGCCGCCGCCGCCGGCTCCGCGCAGCAACCCCTGCTAATTGCGGGGGAAGGGCGCGCGGGGAGCGCGGAGCCACGGGGAACCGAGGATGCGCTCGGAGGCTGCGCTGCCCGCCGGGGGAGGGGAGCGGAGGAGGAGGGGGTGATGGGGGGAGAGGGGGCGCTTGCAGGCGGCCCAGGCTTTGCTGGACTTGGAGTGCACAGGAAGGGGTGGGAAGTTTTGCCGAGTTGCGTAGCAGGTGTTTGCTCTCCACGCAGGGGCTTGGCTACGCAGAGCCAGGGGCTGCGCTCAGGCCCCGGCCCCGACCTGGGAAAAACCCCGCACGCACTTCCCGGGGGCGCCGCGGTTTTGCGCTGGACTTTTCCTGCAGGGCATCTCCATCCAGCCCCGCGCGACCCCAGGCCGCCATCGACCCCCCGACCCTCCACCCCCCACCCCCCACCTCGCCCCTGCTCCGCTTCAGACGCCCCAAGGCGGGGCGTCTGCACAGCGCTGGGCCCGGGGGCAGAGGGGAGGTGTCTGCAGCAGGTCCCCGACTGCGAGCGACCAGGAGCTCAGGCGCCCCAGCGCCACACATTCGCGCTCCCCGGGCTCTTGGGGCGCGTTCCCGCAGACCCCGGGCGGCAGGGGTGAGTGCGTGCGCGGAGGGGGGGGGGTCTGCCGCCCGGCGGTCAGCTCTCTGCTCTACCCGCCCTGGCCGCCGCCGGGCGCGGGAGCCTCATCTGCCATTCTCCCCACCTCTCCCCAGGCCAGGCCCATCTGGAGTTTCCTAATGGAACCAGAGATAGTCCTCCTTCGCCTTGTCAATCACCCCCGAATCTGGAACACTGGAGGAATAGAAAATGGGTGGGGGAGAAAAAAAAAGATGGAAACATCTAGAGAGGAAAGGGGGACTTCAGTGTGGGGAGAGAGCAAATGGCCATTGGAACACACCCGCGCACACGGCAGGCTTGACAGCGTCCTTTAAAAAGGAAGAGAAGAAGCACATCTCCGTAGCTAGAGATATTCCCAGGAGTGGGACGATGGAGTGTTGATTGATAGGAGGAGCATCCTCGGAGGCCAAGATGAGGAAATGGGGGCAGGTATTTTCCAATGTGCAAATCAATCAATATCCCACCCCCACCCCCACCACCCCCCTCTCTCTCCTCTCTCTCTCTCTCCCCCTCCTCCCCTCCCTCTCCCGGAATCAAGAGGGAGCTTGTTTTCTTTCCCAGAGAATAGACAAGTGCTGGAGCCACTGCCAGCTCCGAGATTGCAGCCTGTAGGCTAGTTAGAGGGAAACATTCCCTAACTCGTTTCAAGGAGAAACCCAAGTGCACCGAGCTGCAAGCCCCGGGGGGTGACCCGGGGCGACTCCTTCCTTCTCCGGGAGGCAGCGAGGGGCACAGCGCCTCGGGCCCCGCGGCGGACCCCGGCCGGGTCTCCCCGCCTTCCCCGCGCACCTCGCCAGCTCCTTCCAACTTGCAGGGAGCAAAGTCCAGGGGGGAGGGAGGCGGGGGCGAGCTCGGTCCCCCAGCGCGCCGGGGCTGCGGGGGGGAGCAGGGGGCGGCCGGGCGCGCGCGGGTGCGGGGAGCCCGGGCTGCACGCAGGTCCGCCTGTTGGATGCCCCCAAGCCCCTGGAAGGCCGGAACTTGCCTCCGCCCGGGCCACTTGGGCAGTCGCGGGCTCGGGGTCCGGGGAAAGTCCCGGGGACCTCCCCGCAGCGCCCCGACCGCAGCCGCCACCTGCCCGAGCCGGCTGCACCGCCCGCCGCGGCGCAGTCGGAGCCCAACTCGGGGCCGGCTCCGTTCTCCCCAACAGCCCCCAGCAGCGAAGCCGAGGGCGAGCGTGTCGTGCCAGCCAAGTGAAGGCGAGGCGAGGCGAGGCGAGGCGAGGCGGGGAGCCTGGCGGGGGGGGGCTGGGGAAGGAGGCGATGGCAGCCCGGCTCTCGGGCAGCGCCTTCCCCCGCGTCCGCGATGGAGAAGCCCCGGCAGCCGCCCGCCCCGCGCCCGGGTCCCCTGCCCTCCTCCCCGCGCACCCCCGCGGCCGCGAGCCGGGCCTCGGAGGGCTCGCCCAGGTCCCCGCCGGCGCGCGGCACTGGCTTACCCTTGGCTGCGGTGAGGAGCCCGGCGCACAGAAGCAGCAGCACCCGGAGCAGGAGCAGGAGCTGGCACGTCCTCGGCGCAGGCATGTCTGCGGATATTCCACACGCGCACGCCGGCGAGGGCCCTCCGCGGCGGGGCTAGCGGCAGAGCCGGGGGATGCCCGCAGGGCGAGGCGAGCCGGAGCCCGGCGCCCGGACCGGCCGCGCACCCGACGCCTCCTGCAGCTCCGCGCGCCCCGCTCGCCGCGCTCTCATAGCATCGGTCCCCAGCCTCCGCGGCGCTGAGCGGCTCGGGGCGAGCGCGCGCCGGGCTGCCGGGCCGGGCCGGGCCGGGCCGGGCCGGGCCGGGCAGGGAGGCTCCGAGGCGGCGCGGCTGCGGGAGGGGGCCCGGCGCCGAGCGAGCGCGCAGCCGGGAGCGACCCGGAGCCCAGGCAGCCGGAGAGCGAGCCAGCGAGTGGGAGCTGCGGGAGGGAGGCGGCGAGGCGGGCAGGGAGGGGGCGCGGGGGGAGGGAGCCAGCCTGGAGAGGGAAGGCGGGGAGCGCAGGAGACAGGCTGCTAGCGGCACCCGGAGCCGCTGCCGTGGCGGCTGGACTCAACCATCCCTACCCGCCGGGAGGGGAAGGAGGCTGGGCCCCGCGCAACCCCAGGCAGCGCGCGCCCCTCGGCCCCCCGCGCGGCGGCGCGCAGGCCGGGGGAACCCACGCTCGCGGGGCGCTCGGGAGGGGGGCACCCCCGTGGCCTACGCAGCCCGGCCACTCGGGCAAACCCGAGGGCTCCTGCGGGGGCCTCCACCTGCTGATCTCCTCCTGGGTGACCCGAGGGAAGCCCCCCTCCCCACCCCACGCGCCCCCACCGCCATCCCCGCCTAACTTAGGGAGCCCACCAGCTCTAAGTCACCCCGAGGAAGGAAGAGGAACACGCACGCACGCACACACACACACACACACACACACACTATATGTATATATGTGTGTATTTATTCTGTCTAGAGGTCTTGGACGTGGCGACTAGGCGCAAGAAGTTAGGATGATCTATCTCCCTCTGTTCCGACTTAGGGGTGATGCGTGAGCAAACTTAGGTTCAGACGGAATTCCAAACCGGGAACAGTGGCCGGGATCCGGAGAGCTGGTCTGGTGAAGGGAGGTGGCATGTTGGCAAACCTTCCGGGAGAGCTCTGTATTCCAATAGAAGGGGCTGGGCGAGGGCTGCAAGGGAGCGAGCGCCTCTGTGACCGGCTAAGGGGTGAGGCCCCAGACAGAGAAGAGCTCTAGGCCCGGGGAGGGGGTGGAAGGAGCCAGACGGCACCCGCCCCAGATAGAAAAGGTCCCCATGCAACCTCTGGGCCGACTGTGTAAGGCAAGGCGTTTTAGGGACTGGTGTGAGCTTTCAGAGAAGAAAAACCACCAGGAGGGCCAGCACCGAGACAGGGCTGGGTGACTCCAGTAGAGGGTGGAGGGAACCGCAAGCTGGACGCCCCAGCTTGGAAGAGAGGATTGCTGTCTATGTCCACAAACAGTGACCAGTGGCACCAAACACTGGATCCTCCCCGTCACCGAATGCCCCTGGTGGCATCGAGAGCCCGCCGTTGGCCATCGCCCACGGAGCTTTATTCCACCTGCATTTTGTCTCGGTCAGGATTCAAGACTCAACTGATTGACGATGTCATAATGATTTTTTTTTATATATATATCCCTGCCTTATTCTTCTCATAGTCCCCTTGCCCCCGCGATCTCCAGGCTACCTAAGGTCGTGATGACCAGTCTGGAGAATAAAGGGCCGACAATTTTGAAATGTAAGCACCAAACCTGATTCCCTGAGCCTCCCTACAGCCTCCCCGGAACAGTTGGAGCCAGCATCAAAACTAATGTCTCTTTCACATACAAGGAACCAAATTTGATTCTCTGAAAGTAACTGCCTCATACATGACATGTGGAGTTTCCACATGTAGAGTCCTAATTTGCTGAAGTCGTCCCTGGAGTAAGAATAAGAAAGCGAAATGGCTCAGTCATTGGGGAATTCCCAGTGGAATCCCTGGGCTCTATTCTTTAGGCCAAACTAGACTTGTAGAGGGAGGGATCACCCCTCTGTGATCTCAGGTCAGGTCCCAGATAGTACCTGTAGATCAGCAAGTCAACAAAAATGTTGTCTAAGAACCCTTAAGTGCTCCAATAGTTCATTTCCAGCTTTTCATCAGGAGAAAAAAAATTTCTTTTACAAGACCCAAGAGCTGACTTCTTGAGAAACATTGTCTTGTCTTTTCACTGCTATCCTTAATGACTCATGTCATCAAGAAGGATTTCTCCCATTAAAAAACGTTTCCAAAATCTAACGCTCCTGGTCTGGGACGCATAGATGATTTTTACTTTATTAGGATCCCAATCAGCAACGTTGAGTGTCACCTGCACAATTGAACACCTTTAAGCATAATTGCGACAGGCCCCAGGCTGCAGTTTGAACTTCACTCTCCTTGGGTTGGTTCTGTCTACAGTCTTTGACGCCACCTCTCTTCTTTGGGGCACAAAAAATCTGATTCCCATTTTTTTTTTAATTCCCCTTTTTAAGAAACAACGATCCCAATGACCCTAACTACCCATCTTCACTGTTATTTATACGGGGCATTTCCTTTGCCCAGAATGTATATCAGAGACTTCTAGTGATTCGTGCCAGATTGTTTCTTGATCCTAAATATGATGAGGGTGGGAGAGGGCTGTCAAGTAAAATAGGCTGATTTTGTGATCTGGTTGTATTTGGGTGTTAATGTTGCGATATTTTCCCCCCAAGATCTTAAGGCTTAATTTGGAAGGAACGCATGTGGCACTGCTGCCATCTAGTGTCCAGCCTTCCTTGTTGGGCGTTTGCAGAGAAATTGGTGGTCCCTTGGTCTTATCTCCTAGCTGATCGGAGGTCCCCTACTTGTTTTCTGATAGTCCCTCCGGAACTCTCTTGCCCCCTTCATGTAATCAGGCTGCAGATGAAGCCCATTATTATGTTCCTAGAGGCTCTTTCCCCCTTTGATTGCTAAATGGACGTGAAGGCCTTGATTTATATTACAATTCTAATGCCAGTTATTTAGAGCAGCATTAACCAAATGGGATTAGAGTAAGTCAGGGACTGTGGGGAATTCACACCAGGCAGCTTTGTGACCACTTCTCGGCGTTGGCCTGCGGTGCCTGGAACACTGCACTTTTGTACTGAGGGTTTTTTTTCTTTTTTTTTTCTTTTTAATTTTCTTTTTTGTTTAAATTCCTTTTCCAGTCCTAGGCATGCTCTCATCTGCAGCCTCCGGATTCTGGCTAAGCAGTCTTAGGGTTGATACCGGCACTCAGCGGTGGAAGGCGAGCAGTGGGATGAACAAGGCAGAGGGGAGGATAAAGCATCCCTGAAATAACGTCACAATTACCTTATTAAGACTCAGGTGCAGAGAAGGCAACAGAAGCCTCTGAAAAGTCTTACAGATGAAGAGGGAGAGTGGTTTTCTTCTAGCTGAAATTGCCTGGGGAGGGGACAGAAAATAGGAACGAGATGCTTGAGATAAAACGAGAAATTAAAAACTGCACAAATGGGGGATCCCTGGGTGGCGCAGCGGTACAAACGGGAGTGCTAATTAGCCAGGAAAGCTAGACACGTGTGAAAATGTTAGAGAACGGGGTACGCTGCCGTGATTGCTAGGTGGGTCGTTGTTTGGCTTATTCCACGTCACCAACTAAAAGCAGACGGTGAATAACACAACTGGGGAGACTGTTTCCGTAATAGCAGGGTCAGTACCGGAGTCACAGGATTCCTGTTTCCCTAAATGCAGTCCCCGCCTTGGAGGAGCCAGAAGGATGGGCGGCTCCAGGATTCAGAATCATCACTGAGGGCTCACAGAGGCCTTCTCGTGTACTCTCCTCCGCAGCGTGACTGTCATTGTCACCCCCCCTTCTGCTGAGGAGGGATGGGTGGCTTTCAGGCATCACATGATTTTGTAGGGGGTCATATCTCACTATGGGCCGGATGGTGACTCTCACTTGGCCTTTTGCTGCATCGATATTTACAAACCACACGTACTGTCCCCTTCCCCCCAACATTGAGGAACACCTAAGCCGGGGATTCAGGGTTCTCACACACTGGCCTCTCTATGCTCCTGTGGTTGCTTTATAAGAAAATAAAAAAAATAAGAAATAAAATAAAAAAATAAAACAGATCCAGACATCTATAGAGCACTCAACTCAGAAACAGCAAAATATTCTTTTCAATTGTGCATGGAGCATTCTCCAAGATAGATCATTTGCTAGCCCATTAAAAAAAAAAAAGGATTCTGTGACCATTTACAGACTATTTTTTCATATGAATCTTGATTTCTAAAACTATTCCATTGATTTTAAAATAAATTAGTTGAATAACGTCCCATGCTTTTCTGATAAAATAACACCTTTAACTGCATGTGTATCTGTGTGTATACGTACACGCACACGTGTACATACGTACATACACAGAGTGAGTACTTTCCCTTTGCAAAAGATGGATAAACAGAAGACAGATGAACGGCATGAGGATGTGGGAAACTGAGATGTGTTCAATCAATCTGAGTCAGAAGACAAATCACGCTATGGGGTGATCCATTGGGAGGAAGAAAATTGTGAATTCTGTTCTTTTATAAATAGGCACCCAAAGTAAAGGAGCCCCAAATGCAAGCTTCAGTGTGCATCCTAATGACATGGAAGGATTGTTGAAGCAGAGATTTCTGACCTCCAGCTCCAGAGCTTCTAATTCAAGGTCTCTGGAATGGGGCCAGGGATTTACATTTCTGATTAGTTTCTAGGTGATGCAGATGAATGGTGGGACTGTTCTTTGGGAACCACCCGTATTGGGGTTGACCTTGTCAAAAGGACGTGCTTTTTGAATCCCAAATCTGCCATTTTCTAAACAACAGACCTTAGGAAACACCTAACCTAAGTTTGTTCATCTGAAAATATGGAGGATGATACTTACCTCATAGACCTGTTGGGAAAATCAACAATGGTTGATGGATAGCAAAATTCTCAAAAAAATGTATTATTTCCCTTTTCTATCCAATCTCTGAAGAAAGAGAGAAGAAAAGAAGAACCCAGATGGAGAAAGGCTTTCCCTTCTGCT